GATCGCCTGTCTCATACATAGTCTTCGTTACGGAACTGAGAATATCTTCTTGTAGGATGAAGGCACCACAACTGCCGTAGAAGGCCCTCCAAAACATGTAAGTCTTGATAGAGAGCCCAGCTCTTTATTTATGCAGCAAGTAAACAATATTATTACACAACACTTCACGAACGTTCCGTCGAAGCTTCTTTGATATCATTTCGTGAAAACGAACTAGCAGTTGATGCACTCATCAGGAATGAGAACGGTTCATGATTTAGTTTCATACAAAACTTGAATGTTTTACAGAGAAGAAAAACAGGAAAACTACGTGCCACAATTGAGAGAGAAATAGTGGAGAAACGAGTGATCCGAAGGGTCGTTGAGGTAGGTCATCGATGTAAAAATACACGAACAGGTGTTGATAAGACCGGCTAAGAGCTACCCTTTTTGAAAGACGCAGTTGCATTCTGGTATTAGGTAAGCCTAAGCGAAGTAAGTGAGGATGCATGATGAGTTTAAAAGGCTGGAAAGGCGCTCTCAGTTGAACATGATAATTCACTGTGGCCTACTCCACTTATACTGGAGCATAGACCTAACCTTCCAAGCTTGATGGACCATTCGCTGGCCAGTGAAGTGTAAAGTAGACACCCTAGCAACACAGTACATGTTCACTACTAAGTTGAACATTAGGATGAATCCGAGACTTCCTCCTTGATTATGGACTCATCTAACGGCCTTGTTACGATAATCGTATCTAAACAATCAAAGCATTTGGTTTCTTATGTATCCTGCAGGAGGGAAGCTTATGCGTACATTAGGCTTTGTAAGCGCCACCTGAGGTGTATCGTTTTATTCTTTTCAGTATAACAGTACGGTAGTACTAGTACTAGTGAACAAAAAAATTGAAAATTCTAAATGGTCCTTCTGAATTGAATACGCTTTACTGACCCTGTGGATGTGAGGGCGGCCTTGGCTCTACCCCTATTTTCGATGATTGTTTGATTTTAAAAATCACAACCAAATTTTTTCCGCATTATATTCAGGATGCACCTGAAGAACCGAAACCTGTGAGTAATTGTATTTCATGCTTTATAAGTTAGTGATCATCGTATAACTTCACAGTGTGACGCTTTCATAGCCCTATTCAGACGAACACCGGTCATCTCTACTTGAGCGACGCTTAAGTTGCGATGATTGATAAGACTTGATTGCTTTAGAGAAATTTTATCGTATATATCTACCTGATGTGTAACTTTGGTTGACGAAGGAGCTGATACCACAAGGAGCTGGCCGTTGCGATAGGCTCTTAACTGCTAAGGAATTAACTACACGCCACTTATTTATTAAGGCGTCGCTTTCTTTGAAAATACGTTACTCAAGTAATCTTTTCATTTCCTCCTGTACACCACAAAACTCTGCCCATCTCAAGAACCATATCAGACATAACTTCGTATAATGTACCAACAGTCCGCCATACAAAAACTTGACAAACAAGTCCACAACAATAAACTCAATATGACATGCTCTAGAAAGGAAAACAAATCACACACCAAAAATTTTTAAAGCAGAGACAGATGGTGTACGAGACGGTCGCGCTCCGACAGATCCGAAGAAAAATCCTCTTAAGGCTGCTCTTTTGGCTGATATATAGAAAAGCAGTGACAGTGGGCCAAAACTACGGTAGTCAAAATAAATATTAATCAGTATTCATGCTTCCCTTGACACACGCTCTCCAAAATTTATATGTCATTAATGTGCGAAGTAATCACCCAGATTATGCCAAGGGGATTATGTGAGCAGTCTCACTGCTGAACGATAGAAAAGTGAGTTGTGGCCATACATCTCTTTGTAGGACGAGGGCACGAACACGGCAGCACTGCCAACTCCCAAGACCGGTGCGTTTATGTACATCGTTTACGCATTCACTCACTTTATAACCCTCCTCGTCTCGTTGCTTCTCGTTGTCCTGTCACGACTGACTGCATTAAAAAGTGGAAGGTTGTCATCGTACTCTAATTATAGGATGAAGGCACAAAGACGGGTTGTGAGCCGACTCCCAAACCTGTGAGTGGAATTCTCTTTTCCACTAATTTTCGAATAGTAAAGATGGACTGTAGTGGTTGTCGCGGATTGCACCCTCGCAGCCGTTAGCATCATGTGTCTTGCACTCAAAGCACATTGCTACCCTCGCAGGCGAGACGGGTCTAACCTTACGAAAACCATGGGGATCCTAGCCGCCATGGCCATACAAGAACTCCTGTTCAAGCCACGCTGGCTCCCCACCGCAACCTTGCATGCAATAGCCATATCATATATCCATGTATTCCCATAGTACCACAACAGATTTGAAAGGGGTATGTGCCATGCATAATAATGAACACAGAATAATTTATTTGTTTATTATAATATGGCCCACCCATCGTGAACCCCCTTCAGGTTCTCTTCGCACGGATTCTGTTCCGCGGTTGTCCACATATTATGCCGCGTGCTGGCTCACAGGATAAACCCCGTGAGCTCCACACGACCAGCAACGTCCTAAGAGGGGCCCCAACCAGGCTGCTCCCAGAGGGAGAGCAGGTGAGAGAAGGTGGTTGACTTATGGCAGGCACTCTGTCACCCTAAGGCTCGAAGGGAGCCCTTTTCTCCTCACTTTGGGCAGCCTCCTCGCGTTGCCCTATGACGACAGGCCAGCCGCCAGCTGCCAGTCATAGGTGCTAAGGACTGACTATCCTTAACCATAGGGGGCGTACCAACTTCGTATTGCGCACGCATTGCGCGGTGAGGCTCCGAGCGCGCTCCTGGCGCGTGAGGGTGATTTTTAGCCGGCGGTAGCCCGTGACAATCATAGCATCCGCGGCAGAGGATCGCCCTTCTTTCGTCAATTTTCCTTTTTATAGGATGAAGGTACAACGACAGCTCATGAGCCGACTCCAAGACCAGTAAGCTTTTTTTGTTTCACCAAGTAGTCATTATGACAGTAGTCGTCTTTGCCATATGTGTTCTTCATAGGATGAAGGTACAACGACAGCTCATGAGCCGACTCCAAGACCAGTAAGCTTTTTTTGTTTCACCAAGTAGTCATTATGACAGTAGTCGTCTTTGCCATATGTGTTCTTCATAGGATGAAGGTACAACGACAGCTCATGAGCCGACTCCAAGACCAGTAAGCTTTTTTTGTTTCACCAAGTAGTCATTATGACAGCAGTCGGTCTTCACCATAATGTGTTCTTCATAATGTGTTCTTCATAGGATGAAGGTACAACGACAGCTCATGAACCGACCCCGAAACCGGTAGACGAAGTTTTCTTCATCATTTTCTCCATGACAGTATCTTCTATAGAAACTGGACCTTAGATATGAAAGGTGCTAAGTCCACTAGCGACATTCTTTTTACAGGACGAGGGCACGACGACTGCGGCTGAACCGACTCCGAACCTTAAGATACGTTTCCACAGCTTATTTCACATTTGATTGGCTTTTTTAACAGTCTTTGTGACGAGTATGCTGTAAAAGAGTTCTTTGAGGCTACCCGTGACTAACATGAATCTACAAGTGCAATCGCGAAGCCTGCGTGGTGAGCACGCTCGTATTTCCGCTGCAGCTCTCGCGGTCGACGGCGATTTGCGGCGAGCGATCTTTTCCTCAGTGTCACGCAGTCTAAGCCCCCTCTCGGTGTTGTCATGTCCGTGGCTGCGGCATCATTGGTCGCTATGGCGCTTCCCCTTTCCTCAGTCCGGAGGACTTGATTAAGAACAGCTGACTAGTAGTCAATGGGGCAAAGATCTTTTGGAAGTGTTCTCGACCCTTAACCTGATGTCACTATGGTGTTCTTGGTTAGGGAACCTATGACAGACTCGCTTTATTTCAGTCTCTGTTTTTTGCTTCGGCCAATGCTGTCAGCAATTTAGAGATTTGTAAGAGTAGAAGCTAGAATGAGCCTTGTGTAGTCCGGATAATATCAGAATACGCGTAGTCACCATGCTCAAACGCAAAATTTGCCTATAGTACATTCAGCATTTTAGTGGTCTCAGCATTTTAGTGGCCTCTTTTATAGGACGAGGGAACACGTACGGCAGCTGAACCAACCCCGAAACCTGTGAGTGTGATTTTCAAATATCTTATAATTATTCATTTGTAAACATATTTATGTTTTCCCATGGAAATCAAGTTATGAAGGAAAATGAGATGCAGGGATCAAAGCTTGTCAATCGTCTATTGACGTTCTCATTACAGGATGAGGGCACGTTAACAGCAGCGGAGCCGACTCCCAAACCTGTAAGCCAGTTTTTAGCTAGCATTCCATATTTAGTCATGTTTTTCCATCCTTATATATGTGTGCACATAAAGCTGCGAGGGAGCCTCACCAAGAAAGCAAATAGATCCTTTTTTGACATTCTTCTTTAGGATGAGGGTACTACAACAGCAGCTGAGCCGACTCCGAAACCTGTGAGACAATTGTTTCGTTTATCACCTAGTATTGGGTTTCCTTCCCCCATTTAAGTGCATACCAATTTAGTGCGAAGTATAAGGGCCGTAGAAATGAAACTTGGTTAATGTTGTTTTTGCTTTTGCAGGACGAGGGCACGAATACAGCAGCTGAGCCGACTCCAAAGCCTGTGAGCCCACTATTTTTGTTTGACTCCTATTATTTGTTGCGCTTTGTCCATAGTACTGCATATAAGGGCCGTAGAAATTATAGCCAGTCAATCCATTACTTATCTTCTTTGCAGGACGAGGGTACGAATACAGCAGCTGAGCCGACTCCTAAGCCTGTGAGTTTCATTACAATTGCCGCTCCGTATCTGTAGGAAAAGCTCGCTCCCGAACGAGTATTAGTAGTTATGGAATGGTATTTCTTTCAACTAAAATCGGATAGCTCTCTTTGTAGGATGAGGGTACTTTGACAGCTGCTGAGCCGACTCCGAAACCTGTGAGTTTCATTACTATTCCCGCTCCATGTAGGCAGGACTCGCTCCTGACTAATCCGACCAAATATGTGTGAATTAGGATGATCTAAAAATGAAATAATGCTTTTGTAGGACGAGGGTACGCTGACAGCTGCCGAACCGACTCCGAAACCTGTAAGGAAAATTATACACATATCCTACTTCTTCATTTCTTGACCAGTATAGTTTCGAACGATCCCGCTTACCAATCTTCGCTGATGTTTCAGTTCAATTGATAACGCATGCATCTATCCGCCTTGTATTTTCTTCTTTTGTATTCTTCGCCGAAATAACTCTATACATCATGGGGCATAGGCATTTGTTGCAAGCGTGAGCCCGCCTCTCGATGTCCCAACCACCCAGGGCTTCCCATGAGACCTACCCCCATCCCGCGCACTCCGCAGGAGGAGCAGACCCATCAGCCTCGGGGACAGAAGGGCGCTACCGCAGCTCAACCTACCTACCAGTGGACGGCTGGCTGACCTAGGTGGCATACTTACCACTACGACAACAGCCTGTTATGAACTAGAGTATAACCACATCAACACAAATGCAACAAGTAATTAATACATGTTCATTAATGTATTAACTCACCACTTCCTATCAGTCTCGAAGGTCACCTCATGCAGAAGTGGTGCTCGCTGTTCCGAGGGCTCCATGAGGTCACGTTTTCTAGTCGCTGGTTGTAGGGGCTGATCCCAGGTAAGGCGCAGGGGAACGACACGACCGACGATGGCACGACGGCGCTCCACCAGCTCGGGCCTTGAGAAGACAGTCCTCTTCGCCTTGTTCTGGCCTCATCACGTTATCGGTGAACACCGACGGCCACCGAAAATTAGCCGTGGGCACCGACACTGTCGGATCATGGGCGACTAACAGCTGGCCTCGACCGCAAGGGGCGCGACCAATTGCTTAGGAGCGTATTTGCAACCGAGCGCAAGGAATATACGAGCGCAAGGTGTTCCCCATGGCCACCTTTGTGCATCCGCTAGCAGCATTTGAAGGCGGCCAACTTTTGCAAACTTTGCACAGTTCCTGAGGGTGCCGACTAATTTACCTCGAAGGTAGCAATAGGATTAAGTCGAAGATAAGGTGGGCCGGACACGTCATGCGATTTTGCGATGACCGTTGGACCAGAGCGGTTACCGACTGGATCCCTCGGGACGTCAAACGAACACCTGGACGACCGCCGGCCCGATGGTCAGACTTCTTCACGAAAGCTCTGAACGAAAGGAATGAAGGGAATGAACGGCTTGTGTCTCTCGGGTGTCCCCCAACAGGCCCACCGCGCGGCGAAGCAAGAGACGCAGATGCGGCAAAGAGACGAGTTGCAGCGCGTGCTGTGCGATATGAGACGTAGTGTGGTACACTCTCTTTAACCTGACGCCTAACCGCTACAGTATGCGCTGCGACTCGTCCCTTTGCCGCGTCTGCGTCTCTTGCTTCGGCCGCGCGGTGGGCCTGTTGGGAATGATGCGGCTCCGTGTCCCTCGAGCGAGGAGGATCCACTGGACCACTCTAGCACGCGACAGGGACGAATGGAGACGTTGCTGGCGCCCGCTCGAGCAAATCGACGATCAACGGGACGACAGGTGATACAGGTGATAGTGTGCCGAAAAGATAAACATCCTCAGTTTGGTGACATTGTTTCTATAATTAAGCATAACGTCTCACAATGCGTGGGATTTGCTCGAAAGGCCATTTTCTGGCGCACACAAGATACTATGTTAAATGTCGAGCAACGATAACTTTCCTTGCCAAAAAAAATTTGTCCGAACACTATGAATACAAAACGCTTGTGGGCATATGGCACGCCTCCAAGCGAGGAACAGCGGTCACTGATTGTTTCGTATAGTGAACAAAACATTCAACAGCAACGCTCAGTCTCTGAGGCAGTCACAGCCATGATTCGTCGCTTC